CAGAGATGGGGTTCAGTGCTTACCAGCAACGTGACAGATATTGGCAATCTTTTTTAGGGCATGGGCACTGGCTTAAGTAATGCTGAAACTTGTGGTCATTTTGTTTGCTTGCTTGCACAGTGGGCAGCTTTTGGCCGCGTTCTTGTTGTTGGCATTTGAGAGCGTTGAAAGGCTGTGCGAAGAACCTTTGCTTCATTTGTAGCGTGAATTCCTCAAGAAGGGAGTCAAGAGCCTGGGAAATCTCGGGTTTGAAGCTGGCCAGGGTTTTGGATCTGAGTTCTGTGCCATATCGTTGTTTAACAAAGGCGGGTAACTCTGTATGAATTAATCGTAACCACGTCAAAATAATCATGTTTTCAAGAGTGGGTGTTAACTCTTCATCAGTTTGAACATCTTCGCCGTGATGCGCTTTAACCTAACCCTAAGCGCAACTCTAACCTTAGGGTTAATCCCAAACCTTAATCGTCTAGGTTAGGTTAGTTTTAGGGTCAGCGTTAGGGTTAGGTTAGGGTTAACTCCAACCCAATGTTCGGAACAATCATATAACAAGACGCCTGCTCAGGCATTCACACTGACCTGCTTGAAAATGAGGACATACGCGCTATGGTGTAATAGACAAGGGAGTGGGGAACAAGAGAGTTCGTAGAACAGTTTGAGCGGCTGATACCGTAGATTTATCCAAAGAAGATCAATATTTCGACAACAAAAACCAGAAAGCAACACACATGCCAATGAGGATGAGGCATACCAAACGAGTCTCTTGCGTGAGAATCAAATACATTCAATAAACCATTGGAGTCCGTAAAGATAGATACAGTATTATGTTCAATTGTCAAAATAAATGAAACGTTTCTTGCCGTAACTGCTCTAAAGCAGAATCTAAAGGCATGACAAATGGAATACTTTTACTCGCAGAAGAGAAATGAAGATTAGCAGTGTAACTCTCACTGAACTTAAAAGGAATAATCAGAATCTTAATATATAATAATAATCAGTGTCTTGATATTCTTGATAACATGGAAATAATTCATTGCCCAAGTTCACTTGTGTCTAATATAGAACCATTGCCATGTACATATATTAAGGAACATAAACCTATAGTGACACATTGTTGACCTGCATTTTCGCCAAAGACATCAACATTACCTTGACTATAAGGAGCATGTATAGTTTTACCAGGATTAACAAAGGCAGGTCCAGGGTTGACTTCAATGTCTCCACTTAAGCTAAGTTTACAGTAATTTATCCTGTGGTTTAGATCCTTGTAGGTAGCTTTCTTTGTTTTAGTTAGGTTGGAATTAATGTAGGTATTACTATTTCTTTCAATTTTAGTTTTCAATATCACATTCAAATATAAACATTTGGTATTAAAATCAATACAATTGACGTTTAAATTAAAACAGCTGGCATTCAAATCAACGTATTTGGCATTCAAATCAGCATATTTGGCATTTAAATCAATACAACTGATATTCAAAATATATAAGTTTGCATTCATAGTATACAAGTTGTCATTCAAATTTAAGTTGGCATTCATAGTTAAGTCCACATTCAAAGGAGACTTGGCATTCAAATATGACTTGGCATTCAAAGGTGACTTGGCATTCAAAGTTAAGTTGATACTCAAAGTTAAGTTGGCATTTAAAGTTAAGTTGTTATTCAAAGGTTACACAAATTTTGAACTTGTTGGCACAAATTTACCATGTTTGTTTCATAAGATTATCAATTTAAGCAATTACACTTCGGTTGAGACTTTGCACTTTGGTCCGACTTTGGTCATTCAACTGAATAAATTTTTCTTTAAAATGTTTTCAATCCTTGTATTGTTATCTTTTGGGCAAAACTAGTTTATTTGTATTTATTTATTTCAATTAAAACACAAATTTGGTATTTTTGTTACTAAAAGCTGATTGGTCGTTTGGTTCAGTTCTTCAATCCACAGGGAGCCCAAGCGTTGATCTGTGTTTAATTTGAATTATTTCACTACATTACACTAATATGTCATATAATAATACTCCTATCGTCGAACATATAATAACAACATAAAGTTGATTTGTATTTGTATGGCTTGTATGTTTTTCAGTTTATTTAAGATCTATTATTAGCTTATATAAAAGCACCGCCTTTCGAACCTGACAGCCCGTTCGCCGGATGCACGCGTTATTTCGCACTGAAATAAGAAATGTCACGTATTTATATTGTTGCCGCCTCCTATTTCAATCCCGCGCGTCTCCCACCCGCGTATCCTGCGAACGGGCTGTCAGGTTCGAAAGGCGGTGCTTTTATATAAGCTAATAATAGATCTTAAATAAATAAAGAAACATACAAATACAAATCAACTTACATGTTGTTATTATATGTTCGACTATAGGACTAATTATTATTATTATATGACATATTAGTGTAATGTAGTGAAATAATTCAATTAAAACACAGATCAACGCTTGGGCTCCTGTGTTGAATCCGATAGGTTGAATGAAAAAGTGTGCAATTTGTCCTGAAGCAATCTCTTAGCTCAAATCACACTCAGATTGCAGAGGCAATCAGATTGTCGGAAACTCCATCTCAAAACGAGGTCAGCTAATTTGACTTTTATAGTCGTAATAGATCTCAAAATGAAGTACTCAGCTAATTTCACTTTCATAGTTGTAATAGGCTGCATAATTACAATTCTGGGGGAGCATTCCATCATACCCCCCTAGAAATCTTGTGCCTTCGGCACTCGCCCCCCCCCTCCCCCCAATATTTTGCAAAGTTTCCGCCGCAGGGCATAATACTCATACATAAGGTATCGTAGCATTTTTGTGTGTGTCAAAGTCATTAATTCCACTCTGGTGTGCTCAGGAAACATAGAAATTTGCTACACTTCGATACAGTTGGAGTGGAAAATGGCCTTTAGGGTGGGGGTTAGGATCAGGGTTTTATATTTTAAGGTTACCTAGGACATGATTTTTAAAGTAAACAATTTTATATTCACGATTTCATTTGGTTAGGGTAGGAATAGGGTGGGGAGAGTTTAAAATCTTTTTAATACAGGATCTTCGTTCTTGAATCTTGATAAATAAAATGATGTCAGGTCAGTTTGCTTGCTAACATAAACAGGTCTGAAAAATTCACACACGCACGGTTTTTAAAATGAAATTATAAACAAATATTAAACTTTAACAGAAACTCAAACTTGCATCAAAATGTTGTTTTGGCTTTTAATAAATACGTAAAAGTTTCAGACAAGCCCAGTTAAGCGAATTTCACACTACAGTAGTACAAGCCATGACAAACGCAAATATAAAATATTTATACAATTAAACATCGATCTGTGTACGGGAAGAAGCTATGAAATGCGGCATATAATCAATAACAACGATTATTCGACTATTGGAAATTTTCGATCCAAATGAGATTTTATAATATTTATGATTTGCTTTGGGCCATACTGACAATATGGCGCAGTGGCGTGCTGGCAGGGGGGGCCGGGGGGCCACGGCCCCCCCCCCAGCTGGCAATTCTTGGGGGGCGCAAAAATGAAAAGGGGGCGCCGTCCCGTGCGGAATTTTGTAAGTGGGTGGGAAAAAACGCATTTGAAAAAATATAGTTACTTCCGTCAAGAAGTATATATTTATATAGGCTTATAAACAGATCGAGACTAAACGCATAGACGACAAAGTGATATATTAAATTACAGACTATTTGGTCTAACCTTATTTGCTAATTTGCTACTTCACGGCTCACACAAAATCGTTCATATAGAAACATGATCAGTGATCACACACAATGTCTCATTACCGGAATATTGGTCAGGTTTCGAAGCGATCACGGGAATTATGCTCTTTTTTGCTGGTATTATGCCCTTATATTATGAAGGTATTATGCTTCACGAATCACGAGAGCGGCGCAAATTAGATAGTTATGATAATGTAAGTTGTGTACGCAATTTAGTTGTTTGTGCAGGAAACATCATGACTCATGAGTAATGTAAGTGATAAGATAATGCTGAAAAGCGCCCTTTTGGCAGCCAAGCTTAGCAAGGTAACCTTAAAGTGCATATGCGTGGGGTCCTTGTGTTATTGTATAAAAGAGCTGTATGTTGTAAATGTATTCAGATCACCAGATCCGTAGAGAATAGAATTGGGATTAGATTAATCGCTGGAACTGAGTTAGCATTGCCCAATTTAAGAACTACTACTATATATAATTCTAACCAAATTGCAAATTTCAACACGTTATAATGCCGTTTCCTGACCATCAAATTTCTGTCAAACCTTCCCCCCAAAGTCCAGGAAATGGCATTTCAGAGACCCTAAATTCAAACATTTTCCGAGGGGGCATGCCCCCGGATCCCCCTAGAGAAACCTCGCACCTGCGGCGCTCGGCTCGTGCCTTCGACCTCGTTTATCAAGCATTACAATATAGGGGCGCATATTAGTTGAAAGCCAACTGGCCCCCCCAGAAAATTAGTACCCAGCACGCCACTGATATGGCGTGATTGATGATATAACATTGAACCTCAAACGAGTTGAAAATGATACTCAAAGGTGACTTTGCACGCTCAATAGACAAGTTACAATATAGAATCAACTTAACAGTAAGTATAAAGGTTTGTAGAACGTACCTGTTCGAGGTATGGTGACCGGTGGATTCATCTTTTTCAGCAACAAAAACTTGACAATATAGCACATGAAATACAAATAGCCGCATCACAGATGAGGTAAATACAGATATGAATCTCCCGTCAAATTGCTGATTGTTTTTTGTTTTGTTTTGTTTTTTTAACCTAATAAAGTAGATATCAACAAAGCAGTTTGTATGTTTAATAATATCATAGAGACTGCGGCTAAAACATCGTTGCAGTTAGCTCGAACTAAGAATTCAAAATCCAAAAATTCACAGATTTGGTTCGATAGGGATTCTAGATCGAGCTTTTCGTCTAAAATTAAAAAAAAACAGCCAATCGCCTTCACAAAAACCCATTTAATATCAGCACGAGAACCGAGTATCATTACATGACGAAACAATACAAGGGTTTACTTCGTTATAAAAAGAAAACATTTGATAATGATATAATTCAATCATTGGTGAAAGAGAAAAACACAAAGCAATTCTGGTCAACATTAAAATCAGCCAGTAATACAAACACCGTCAATGAACAAACTGTTCCTGTTGACAACCTTCTCAATCACATTAACACTTTACACTCGAATATTGACGAGAACTATTGTACACCAAATCAAAAAATTATTATTGATCACACTAATATTTCTCAGTCCAATCAAAATAACTGCTTAAACATACCTATCATTGAGAGTGAGATTAAGAAAGCTATAAAAAAACTAAAAAGTAAGAAGACTGCCGGTAATGATAAAATCCGAAATGAGATGCTTAAATGTGGAATGTATGTAATAGTCTTACCATTAATAAAACTATTTAATTTCATCCTCAATGCCGAGGAATATATCCTGACTTATGGTCAAAAGGATTGATTACACCCATCTATAAATCGGGTGATAAATTAGACCCTTCAAATTATAGAGGTATTTGTGTTACCAGTTGTCTAGGCAAGTTATTCTGTTGCATTCTCAATGATAGGTTACTTGAATTTGTCAAAACTAATAATACACTACATCCATCACAAATTGGTTTTGTACCTGGAAATCGAACCTCTGATCATATTTTTTCACTTAGAACTTTAATTGATAAATATGTCTTGAACACAACCAAAGGGAAGTTGTTCGGTTGCTTTGTTGATTTTCGCAAGGCTTTTGACTCGATTTGGCACCCTGGCCTATTATCAAAGTTACTTAAGTATAATATTGATGGACAGTTCTATAATCTTATATCAAATATTTATTCAAAAACAGAATGTAGTGTTAAAATAAATAATCAAAGAACTGATTATTTTAAATACAACAGAGGAGTACGTCAGGGATGTGTCTTATCGCCGATGTTATTCAATTTATATATGAATGAGTTACCTATCGCTCTTGAAAAAACCGACAACTGCGACCCCATAATTTTGCCAAACGGATCATCCCTCAACAGCCTATTTTATGCAGATGACTTAGTACTATTATCTACCAGTGCTACAGGTCTGCAGAAAATAATTAACACTCTCCATTCTTATAGTCAAAGCTGGTTTTTAAATGTTAATCCAAAGAAAACTAAAACCATTATATTTCAAAAACAATGCCGCAAATCAACCCAAGAGAAACATCCTTTCTTTCTCAATGACAATGGATCTCAAATCATTAATGCACCAGATTATACTTATTTGGGCTCCACAATCTCCAGCAATGGAAGTTTTGCATTATCAAAACAAATATCAATTGATAAAACGAGACGATCTATATTTAAAACTAAAAAATATCTGAGTTTTATAAACTTCCAGTAACAATATGCAACAAACTATTTGACTCTCTATCCGTCCTATCTTATTGTATAATTCAGAAATTTGGGGTGCGTACGAGAAACTAAACTTTGATAAATGGGAAGCTGACGGTGTTGAAAGATTGCACACACAATTTTATAAATACTACTTTGGGCTAAACAAAAGAGCTCCAAACGTTGCCTCTCGAAACGAAGCAGGCCGATTATCTTTAAAATCAACAATTTATGAGAACATACTAAAATTCTGGATTCATCTTGAAAATCAACCAGAAAATACTATTGCTTTCCAATGCCTTCAGATTTCTAAACAACTAGCGTTATCTAGTACTAAACCTTGTTTCATTTCATCCGTAAACGAAATCACACGCTTATTTCAAACACAGAATCAACAAAATATATATACTAGTAACAAAGATAATTACAATAAATGGTTATTCGAAATTAAACAAAATATAGAACAACAATCCCAAATCATCTTCTGAAGTCAAATAGAAAACTTGTTTTTTATTCAACTTTCAAATACGATACCAAATGTTCCTCATTTTTGGAGTTGATAAAAAATGGAAATCACCGTAAAGCCATGACAGCGAAGCTTCGAATGGGAAACTATAATTTAAAAATTGAGACAGGAAGACATAGCTGTCCCAAAATACCAGAAAATCTATAAGAACATGTGACCACTGTGGGTCACAATACATAGAAAATGAAACACATTTTTTATTCCATGTATATTGTATAACCAAATTAGAACTACTCTATACAATGATATGAACAATCGATATCAAAACTTCAGAAAAATGAATACTACGGAAAACGTTTTATTCCTATTTAACAATGTTGATCCTTTTGTATGCAAAAAAATTGCATGGTTCATCTCCGAAGCTTTTGCAATAAGAAAAAGACAATTTATTACTGTAAATAACCCCTTTGGGCTTTACTAGTTAAAACTGTTATTTATACGTAGCCGTATAGGGCCAATTTAGTATAGTTTTATAGTTTTATTGTTATTTTGTTACGAACTCGTAGGCAATACCATTTATGTACATGGGAATGCTTCCAATAAATTGTTGTTGTTATTGTTGTGTCACACGGAATTCGCACTTCCGGCGAGCGCTGGCAAGTGTCGTTCTGAAATTCAATAAGGAAATAGGAAAACGCCGTTCGAAAGACGAAAAATTGCTTTTTTTAAAAATCTACGCTACCGACGGCTATTTTTGGAATGAATTCTTCAAAAGTAACGGTAAGCGATCACTTTTATTGATTTCCTTTTATTAAAAGTGTTAACATAACATTTTATTTAGCAAAAGTTTGTATTTTTCCCTATCTTCTCCTTATTAAAACCGTGAAATACACTTGCTGGGAATTTCAGATGCTCATGTATAATAACAAAACAGCGAATGATATAAATTCCTCAAAACATAACTCTCGCATAAAAAAACAACATGAATACTTCTATAAATATGTATAGTTTTATTCCTCTGCATTATCAAAATTTAATAAAATAGTGAATTAATATAATTTTAAAGTTTATTTAATCGGTGTGACATAATTTGCCGCGAGATTGATATCTGTATTTACCTCATCTGTGGCCGCATTGATGGTTGATGCATCGCGTGAGTGGGAATGTGGGATACGCAAAATTATCCTAAGTTATCCTAAGAAGATGTTTTCGTTCGGTCCAATGAAACATAAGTATTACTCACAAATACAAACGTTATCCATAAATGCACATGGTCTCTGGGGGAGATAGGGACTCAGGAGGTCTGGAACTGGTAATTGTGCGCGTGCGTACAAACGTATGGGCTAATTAATAAAGATGTACCACAAGCATGGCATGAGCCGGCTACTACGTACACTGTCATTTTCAAGGAGTTAATTTAACTCCAGTGGTATTATTCTGAACCTAATTTTACTCCACATTTGGAGTTAATTGAGGTACAGTATAACTCCAGCGGAGTTAAATTAACTCCCCGAAATTAACAGTGTACATAAATACGGTGCTTGTTACTATGAAACCAATCAAGCAGTCGAGGAATCGATGGCATTTGAATCGATGGCATTTTGGCTTAATCGTTGCACCCTGAGCCTGCGATGCGCTAACGGAAACTCCATCCCTCGACGACGAAAACAGAAAATTAGGGATTTAAGACACTTGACCTTTCAGGTCAGTGTAATAACAAAAATAGCTCATTTTTAAACCGCGGTAACTCTTCGGTTTTATGAAGTAAATTCATGTTTTACAGTATCTATTCATTATAAAGACTAAACATTCCTGAATTCACTGATGTGATTTTATTTTATTTTTCTTGTAAAAAAGTACAATTTACATCAGAATATTTCAATGCGACTTTGAAGGTCATTTAACACAAGTAATATATATATATATATATATATATATATATATATATATATATATATATATATATATATATATATATATATATATATATATATATATATATACTTTCAAAGAACGATATGGAAATCATAAGAAATCCTTCAAACTTCAAAGATATAAAAACGATACAGAGCTGTCAAAGTACATCTGGGGGCTAAAGAGTAATAATAAAGATTACACCCTAAAATGGTCAATTCTGAAGCGGGCAGGCGCATACTCATCTGGTGCAAAGCGTTGCAATCTCTGCATAGAAGAAAAACTCTGCATAAGGGATGCAAACAAACAATTAACACTGAACAAAAGACCCAAGATATTCGCAAAATGCCAACATCGCGAGAAATTTTGGGCGGGAAATTTTGAACGCGCGTGCGAATAATGACGGTGCACGTCAGCAAACTATAGATCACGCCATTATAACGAACTGAATTTAATCGCCTGAAGATTGCCACAAATAGTGGCATGAAACTAGCGAGAAATTGAAACATTTTAAGATATATATATATATATATATATATATATATATATATATATATATATATATATATATATATATATATATATATATATATATAGCTTAAGATTTTGGTTTACGAAACACAAACAGTGCTCAATACCATACAGATAGAGCGTAATATAGTTTTTCGTTTTACCTCAAAAAAACACAACAGTCTGTTTCATCCGTATAGGAATCATCAGGTGGTGAATAATTTCGAAATTGTAGGTTGCTTTTATGCTATCGAAAGAATGTTCGGAATGCGTGTAGGCGAAACAATGCTTAGGTGAAACAATGCATGCTTGGGTCATTAGGTTTTGTTAACGACCTTGTTTACTCGAAACCGGTTTTTGTGCATGACGACATTTGCCGACGACATTTGCAGAATATATATATATATATATATATATATATATATATATATATATATATATATATATATATATATATATATATATATATATATATATATATATATATAAACGGTGCGTTGAGAATATATATCTTGAAAAATAATGAAACGCACTGACACGCGCGCTGCATTTCAGGATGACCCTCATTCCTCCTCTGCTCTCCTCCGATCAATGATGCTTTGATTCAATTGCACAATTTTACGAAGCGCACAAGCAACTATATGATGTATCTTTGCAATACTCGGCCGGCGATAATTCCCCCAGTTTTCCAACCTCTATCAAAATCGCCCGAAGATCGTCTTGAATAAGGCGCGAAACGTCTGTTGTAGAGCTCTGTATTATTTCTGTATTGTACATGAAATTGTTGACCGTTCCTTATAGGTGTTTCCCGTCATGCCAATAAAGTCTATATATAGATTCCGAATTACTGGATACAACCTGCACGTGATGTATACTATTATTGTTGTTACTTATATAAACATTTATATATAATATAGACTTGATCTGTAATCCAGGCATTTTATTAAATTAAACTATTATATTTTTAATATTATATATTTTTAATATTATATATTTTTAATGTTTATTTTAATATAGATATAAACGAGTTATTTTGTGGCTCGATCGATAATGATACAATTGTTCTTCTAGCTTTTTCTGTACAATCTGAAAAATAAATTTATTGTAATTTAACAGTTATCCAAATTATTGTATATAACAAACAGCAAACGCACCAAGTAAGCCAGAGTTTACCTGTAAAGTACTGTGGTCTGTTGATTCAATTTTTACTCGGTCGTTACTCTATATAATATAACAGCACTGATTGAACCACTGCCTCTGGATTAATTTACAAAAATAGATTTAGCCCAATAAAACTATTTAAGGTAATTCCGCAGTTTTGCATTGCGCACTTTTACTGCGCACATCTTATAACTTATAATTTCACCATTATACGTACCGTTTAAAACAAAATATCATTTTATGACAATTTTATGTTACTTCAAAACATCTTTGGTTACATTCGTGCAAAGAATTACGTTAAAATCAATGTTTTCAAAAAAGGGATACAAAAGTGTAGCTAGGGTTCCCTGTGTCTATTTATTTACTTGTATTTCACGTTTTAATGCCACAATTCCCTAAAAAGATCGGTGACCCCCGTTTTTAACTGATAATTTATTTCTTTAATGCATTTTACATTTCATATCCGAATGCATGTTCTCAAAGAAAGACATGTAAAGAAATGTGCACAAGACATTTGTGGATCAGAATTGTACACGTTAGTAGTTTCATTTTGCTCAAAACACAATATTTTTTCAAAAATAATTACAAAATAGGTTTACTAAAGCAAAATCCGAGCTAAAAAAGTCAATAAATATTGGGCTGTTGTGAGTTTGCTGTTACTAGTAATGAGCGTCAAGATGGCTCCATATTAGGGTAAAGGTGGTATATTGTGATTGTCATATCTTCTTAACGAGTTCGGTGACCCAGACTTTTTTTTGTGATTTTACTTTAAGTATATCATAAACTCCATGCCTGGGAAGTTTCAGCACATTCTCATTTCGGGAACAATTACTGCGGAATTACCTTAAGGTCGTTATTCTGGGCATGCGGGTCAAGCGAACCAGCTTGAACAAGCGTTGTAACTGTCTACTGTGACAGTTTTAATTCGCTCCGGTGCTCACATGAACGTTAGCACCAGCTAACGCCAGAACGTATAGAACACCCTAATGAAAAACGTGGAACGCTGGAACAGCAAAGACGGAATGCTAAAATATCTCAACCGAAAACCAGAAACGCCACTCAAGAACTTTCTTGAGTTCAATATACAAAACGTTTCAAAGTTATGGTGTACACTTCCCGCGAAAATTACAGCTGGCAATTTCAACATACAACCTGCCACGTTACTTTTTTTAAACTGACTAGAACTTGCAATTTGTACCTTTATAATTTCTACTTCTAACATTTCATTAAAAACGTTTAAGTTTCACATTGAAAATTAATCACTCGGGTGTAGTTTAAAACAGATCAGCCATAAATTGCAAGTTGTATAGTGTTGAAAATACAAACAATGTAGTTTAATGTCGAAAATAGCAAGTTGTATGTTGAAATTGCCAGCTGTAATATTGGAAGAAAATAACACGATACCTTGTAAGCCTTTGTATTTTGTGTCAACAAAAACTCAAGAATCAAGAAATCTCATGGGCGGCATTCAGGGTTTCGTTTAGAGATTTTTTAGCAGGTTTTCTGGATTTCCATTTCGGCTGTCCGATCTTCCAGCTAGCGTTCCACGTTCCGGCTTTTAGTGGTAACCCAAAAACGAACATATAATAATAATATATATTCAACTAACTGAGTACTATAACGTGATTCAAACGAGGGTGAAGAGATCGTAATGGAATGGTCGCTGCGTTGCGAAAACCTTTTCGTTTCTGGGGCAGTACAAATGACCAAAAGCCATGAGAACAAGCCGACAATTTCAGAAAATAAAACAAAAACAGAAAACATCTTGAAACCCAAGATGTGGACAAAACAAAACGTAAATGTAAGTGGTAAAGCAATTAAGACGAAAATTTAAACCGTTTAAATTCACGTCCTGCTCTTTTTAGTCTATATCTTGGGTTGCAAGATGGTTCCAAGAAGTTTTCAAGATGTTTTCATTTTCCAGTTTTTGTCCAACCAACTAATCATATTTAAAGCGATATGCATTTCCACAATAATAAGACTTTTTGTGCCTGTAGTTGTTTATACATACGCTAGCCTTCGACAAAAATAAATCCCGAAAATACCAAGCTATACAACTTTACAACTTTAAGTTTACAACTTACTTTTATACAAATTTCCAGTGCTCCTTGGCTCAACCTTACGTTGTCAGAAATATCTTCGTACGGAACATCCAGGTTGATCTTCCACTCACTCCAAAATACATTTTGATGTACTTCCATAACTCTCCTATCATTTTTTGTCAAAGTGAAGCAAGAATATTACACATTTATACTACAGACATGCCAAAACAGCAATCTTTCTTCCTTTACTATGCAAATATTGTCTGCCAGTGATCGAGGTTGAATGAGAAAATGTTGTACATTTTCGTAAACACGTCAGAACAATAGCGATAAACATTGCACGAAGATCATTTGCCCTTCGCATAAATCCACGTAATTAAACATTCAAAATAATGTAAATATTAACGGCTTATTGACCGAGCGTTAGGTCTGTACTGTGAAATATCAGACCAAGGTAACAGAGGTCTGATATTTCACAGTACAGACCGAACAAGCGAGGTCAATAATCGGTTTATTATATGGCTGAACTGAGTCTGTGAGCATATGCTTTTCGCGCGAATTAAATCGGCTATCGTCAGTTTCACTGGGTATACGGTAGGCATGCATGCTCAATCAAAAACAATTTGGTTGTTTGAAATTTTTATCTATCAATATTATATTAATCAATCTTATATTAATCAATCTTTATCAATATTATATTAAATGTTTGCAAAGCAAAAATTTCCCGCCAGATAAACGACATCCGGGACACCGGTGCAGATACGGAAAATACGGACCACGGTCCGGATATGGGTTTTTACGGACCGCTTGTCAACCAATCAGAATAGAGAATTTTGAAAAGCCATATAATAATTTCTTATTAACCGAGCGCGAAGTCTTTACAGAGAAATATCGGACAGAGGTCTTCTTTGTACAGACCGAGCCCGTAGGGCGAGGTTTGTTCAAAACGACCGAGGTCCGATATTTCTCTGTAAAGACCGAGCAAGCAAGGTTAATAAAAAGTTTATTATATGGCATTTATAGGCATTTATACTCGAAACAAACAAGAAATACATGATTTGAAATGCGTATTAGTAGCGTGGTACAAATTTGTTCGAAGAAAACAAAAATTACCAATGTATTCCTTCCTTTCCACTTAATTAAAACCATTCGCGGACATTTTATTGATAACAAATTAATTAGTTTTCAATTAGTTTTGCTGTTTTGTTTTAAAATACATGCGTTTATATTTACATTATTTAAATAATGGACCGCTGAAAGTGCTTCTCAGCCAATCACAGTCCGCCATTTCACCGGAAGTGATGCTTGCCATATATTAAACATGCAGTAACGTTTTACCACTTATATCTCATTTGTGTCGGTTTTCTTTGATCGTCCGAGGTTTACAACTAGCTAATATACCTTGAATAAATAATTACATCAAACTTTTCGACAAAACGCGAGAATTTTTCATCAAAAATTTTTGAAAATGACAAAATATGTTAGAAAACCTCCACAAATGAGATATAAGTTAGAGTTATAAACCTCGAAAGTCGGTTTATAACTGATATATTGCCTTCGGACGCTGCGCGTCCTCGGGGGCAATATATCAGTTATAAACCTCCTTCTCGGTTTATAACTCTAACTTATATGTGGTAGGAATTTTCAGTGCAGAACCGTGTTGATTGATAACAGGAGTAAAACAAATGTAGATTTGTACTTTTAACATTATAAATTTATAATTTTCATACATTATAATTTTCATACAAAAATATTCAACTTAATTTGGCACACTTCGCATTTACAGTATTCAATTTGCCTCCCACCACAATATCCACCTCCATTCCCGTCATACAATGTTGCATGCATATAGCGTGTTAATATCAAGATCTTGTAGAGTAGGTGTGTCCCATACACAAACATTAATTACTAATTTAGATATTCATTTTAAAGGAATAAATAGATTGCGCCTCTTTCGCTTCCCGAGAAAGGCAGTTCCAAAGTTTTGTCGCACTGTTTTAAAGCTTTTTTCAGAACTCCCGTCCCGGTTTTTGAACAGAATATATCAGTATTACCGTTTCTAAGATTATGACCTGCATTGAACTAATCCTAATCAGTGACTCTTTCAAACGAGGGGCAGTGTAATCATTTAAAATTTGATACAGAAGAATTGACATCAACTTCTGTGTTCTTGTTTCTAAAGTTACCCAACCAAGAGATTCAAGAACGTCAGCAGAGCTAATTTCGTGACTTGTATTGCGCCGGCAATTATTCTTGCCGCACGATTTTGAAAATTTTGGAGTTTATCAAGCACTAGTTATTTGCTAGTTCCACTAATAGACTTATTGTTGAAAATCACAGGATAATCATAAACTTCAGTACTAAGATTATACGTCGACCCAATAGTCGTAAACTTAGTTTTAGTGTGGTGATGCTGCAGTTACTAGCCAATTGCTTATTTGGTGTCGGTCAGAGATTCAGAGTTTAAGTTATCAATCTGCTCAGTGTAATCATTAGAGGAAGAAAATATTTGGAAATCATCAGCGTATAAACAAGGCGTAGCTATAGCTTTTCGGAGGCTCTCCGGCTAGTAGATTAATATGAAGTAGAAATAGCGAAGGCCCTAAAATGGACCCCTGTGGGATACCGCAAACGATCTTTGGGGTGACGACGAGTGGCCATTAACGATACATGTTCTTGGTTTATTAGGTAAGATTCAAACCAATTTAATTCAGATTTGGAGACACTAAAATGCGTTTCTAATTTACTTATTAATATTTTGTGGTCAATTGAATCAAAGGCATTAGGGATATCTAAGAACACAACTCCGTTCAATTTGCCTTGATCCATATTTTCGTACCATTCATCACAGTTGTATCAATTTTTATTATATTTTCGTATCATTCATCACAGTTGTTAGGACGCGAAATCCTGCTTGAAATTTCGACAGCAGCGAATTGTCGTTAAGACATTTATATGTCTGGTTGACAACAAATCTGTTGATAAAAAAAAAAAGAAAATTTTCGCATGGCGTTTATCGTCTGATTTATAAATTGGTGCAACCCTGGCCTTTTCCCATTTATCAACACAAATTCCAGATTTTAATGAAAGGTAGAAAATCTTAGTTATTGATGGACCTATTACGTCCGCGAATATTTTAAGGACTTTAGCTGGAATATTATCAATACCTGTTGATTTCGATACTTTCAGATTGAGTAACTCACAAATAACTTTGACCGTACTAATTTCAGGAAATGTGATGGTTGAATTGAGTGAGGGAGTGTAACTATTCGTTGGGGTTTCATCTAAGTAGTCATTATTAATCTCGTAAGCTAATTTTGTTTCAATATTGACAAAAAAATCATTAAATGATTTCTTTCCTATCGTTTGAGGGTGCACCGAAATTAAAATTCAACATATTTATTTCGCTCATATTTCGCTCGCTACTCTGGTTTAAATAAATTATTACAAAGCCCAGTCGAATTGTAATCAAGACCCAACGTTTCGACACTCCAGTCTAGTGGCGTTTAGCATAAATTATTACTAATCATGAATATTTAGTAACTGACCAATCACAGACCTTCCCTGTTTTTTAGGGGAAATCCACGTGACTGCACAACCTTTGCTTTCCGGATGCGCAGACTCAACTTGATACTGTATTTAATAAATTCTGGGTGAAGCAGGACGGTTCGACCAGTGCGACTGTTGTCAAAAATTCTGGCTTGGTGGCTAACGTGCCACAATGTTTAGCATTTCTAAACTTGGTCCGCAAACTGTTTGCACGTTTATTGAAAAGTATTCTTTTCGAGTTTTAGAAAGTTCTATCACTAATGTTGACCTGTTTAGCCCCCTGTATCCGCCATGATTGTATTATTGAGCACAGATAAGTGTAGCCAAAGGGAGGTATACCTTTCACTACACTTCACTGTGTGAGTGATGTTTTTGAATAGCTGGAGAATGTATGCCGTACCATACTATGAGTGGAGACTCGATGAATGGTGAGTGAGCTTTTAGAATACAGGCGTTATAAGTGTGCCAAGGATTTTTGTCTGGGATTGAATATAGTTTGATTGAAGAGGTTGTAAGAAGGAAAGGAGAGACTGCAAACAAGTGAGACAACACATCAAGAAACGTCACATAAAATGCAAAATTCCGATTGGTTGATTGGCAGATCTTAATTAACTTAAATGAATTGTTTCCAAATTTGAAAGTTAACCGTCAAATTATGTCATATTAATATGATCTTGTATCATTTTCAACGAAAGCGTTTGGTATGTTATTTCGACCAAATAAAAAATAGGCGGTGCGAAATGTGGACGTACAGTATTTCGTTTCTTGATGTGTTGTGTGCAGTCCCTCCTTTCCTTCTAAGGAGGAGCTCCCAGTCCATAAGGCGTCCGGTAAACACTTTTTTTTTTGCATGTTTGCATGGCGAAAATACACATTTATTTATGACTAATTGAACAATTTTAAAAATCAAGTTAACAACCACTTAAGTAATTAAATATTGCTAAAAAAAATCACCAGAATATACTTACATGTTAGTAAAAATTGCTATAGAAGAATGACCATTCTTTGGAAGTGGTGTGTGATCAGTGTAAATGTCACAGATGATTTCTCTTGTCCTTGGTAAACTCTTAAAATGTCGAAACGGCAACGTATAAATCCCGTACATTAAACAATTATTGGATGAGGTTGATCATGATATGAAGAACCGAAGGCTATTGTTGATAACACGAACTGAAGCTTTGATAATTCTTCATATCTTGCGAAAACCGAATTCAATAATTTATTTATTTATTTATTTAAAAGGTAAAAAAAAACATCTGCACTTGCAGAAAATTTTCCCCATTTGCAGAAAATCTTTCATTTTTCTGTTATAAGGACGCTAAGATATTTCGTTGATATTTCTTCTTTACATTTTAAAAGTTGTTTTCTTTAAACCTGCAAACACTGCCGAAGGCGGTGTCATATTGTTTTGGTCGTGTTTCCACATTTCGTATTCGTATAATTTTTTCATATTCAATGTTATGACGTCAAATATCACGCCAAAACTCTATGTTTGCTCAGCTATTGAGTTGATATGACGATTTCAAAGTTGTCTGTTAGCCAATCAGAAAACCATTAATTTTTAAATAATTGCTTATTATCGTTTAGTTTATACGTCAGAAAAGAAATTCTTTGATATGCATATAACATCGAAACGTGCAGAAGAACTAAAAGGAAAAACGAAAGCGAAAAAAATTGCAGCAAAGTTTATCACCTATAGCTTCAATATAACGACAAGTATTTGCAGAAGCCTCCAGCATAAACAAAGCAAAGGCAAGACAATTATTTACGTTTTCGATTTGCAAAGCCAGGAGATAAAATTTTAATTCTTTTGTAATCGGGCTTATGCTAAACCATTTTTAATTAAGATGCAACTGTTCGTCGGAATAAATATGGAAACAAAAAACCCAATGAAGTAGGAAATAATAAACACACCTTCAGGATGGCATTCCCATTTGCTTGATACTCAATATATGGTCGTAAAGGCTAAAAAATATAATACATATAGTATTTCATACACAACAAATATCAGTAACGTCAACGTAAAACACCCAAAAGTGTTCCAAAACAACTTACAGCATCAGGTGGACTAAATCTTGGCATTCTCATCCTGACAACCACGTCTTCGCCATCTTGTTCTGCAGATCTTCACCAAAAAAGAAAAAAAAAATAATAATAATAATAATAGACGGTATATTTAAAATACAATCGCACTAATACAAGTAATAGTGAATTATAGTATTTTTACAAGCATAAAATTATGAAGACTACTGTTACTTTTTAAAACTAGGAATTGGAGTTATATAAAAATGGAAATTTAGATTGTAAACCTAATTGACAACGGTCATGACTTGTTCATAGTACGTGAGCACATAGCTGGGAAGAAACTGTTCTTAAATCTGTCCGTCCTACACTTAAATAGGCTAAGATTACTAGAGTGGCGCAGTTCTCTGCCATGCGACTCAATCCGGATCGGAGGTAAAATGCGGTTAAGGCGTGATGATGGTATTGTTATTTTATCCAAAACCTTCTTACAAAGAGTATCACGACGATCGGATAGACGGGGAAGAGAGGAGGTAGCAAGCGCGGTTGAATAGGACATGTTTGGATATAAAATCCGCAGAGCACGACGTTGAACCCTCTCGATTTTTCCGGAAAGGTAGGAGGGGATAGATGTATTCCAGGCTGCACAGCAGTATTCTAGCACAGATCTGATAATCGAAATGTAGATAGTCAGGAGGTCGTTGGCAGACACACCGGAGTTACGCAAAACTCGCAAAATATGAAGTCTCTTTGAAGCTTTGGACGTGATAGAGTCAACATGGGCGTTCCATTTTAGATCGTTTTGTAAGGTGACTCCTAGCAGTTTAAAACAGGTGACCTTCTCTAAAGGTTGGGAGTTGATCGACAATGTAGAAGACAGTTCTTGCGGGGGGTTGCGAAGAAAAGAGATGGTAAAGTCCTTGCACTTTTTAGGGTGTAATTTCATGTTATTACTCATCGACCAGGCATTAATAGAGTGGAGATCTTGTTGTATTCCAGGGGGGGAGTTACGATGGATGGCTTGGAAGATGGTAACGTCATCAACAAACATCCAATTACTAGACCTCAACGGAGAATGGCTGGCAAGGTCGTTGATCATTACGAGGAATAGGATAGGGCCAAGCTTGGTACCCTGCGGGACACCGGCAGTAACAGGAGCCCAGTTAGAGGTAAATTGATTAACTTTTACAGACTGCATCCGACCAGACAAAAAGCTACAGATCCACGGGATCAAGGCTCTTCGTACGCCGATTTGAAAAGATTTGTTTCCTTGCTTGAAATAATCTTACAAAGTGATTTAAAGGAGGATAAGGGAGATGCATTGTACATGCTTTCCATAAATTTTCCTTAGGTTTTATGTCATCTGACTAAATATTTACCTTCTTATTCCATCTAATGTTGTGCTGACCATATCAAAAACTCCCACTGTAGGTCTTGTGACTAACCCTAAGATTCCTTTCCCAAATCCTTTGAAAAAACCCTCAACACCATCAGCTCGAGCACCTGTATGAAAATTGAAATTGAAGCCATGCTAGCTATAGCAATCTACTAAATTAAACACATGCAGGATAATTTTGTGATTCGAAAACGTACCCTGAAAAGGTTTCGTAACAACACCAGATACACCAAAGACCAATCCCTTCAAAAAGATTATTAACGATATCAGAAAAAAGCTTTCCAGCCACCTTTAGTTATAGCTTTAATCAAAAGTTTCAAAACGGCTTTAGAAAGCATTTTGAATTTGTGACGAATGCTTAGCTAAGCATAGAAACTATACCAAGGGACAAGATTAGTGGTATAGATTGTATGTACCTTTGATATATCAAACTAAGGGATTTGTTGGTAAAATAATAACATAAGTTAATATAGTTCCCCTCACCAAAAGGGGAACTCTCCCCTCACCATAAGTTAATATAGTTCCCCTCACCTCGCGACACCTTCTTGAACATTAGATGGACCACTTGCCATACGTAGGCGTCGTCTCTATATGACAAAACCATGAAGACATGTGGGTCAGACAATTACAACAATACACAATATGTGGACAAGAACAGCTGGGAATTTTGTCTGCGCATGCGCTACAATTTGCGCGGTTTAGGAGAAAAGAGACTTAGGGCGAGTAAATATAGTAATTTGATTTTTGAGCGTTTTATTGTTTTGTTTTTTCAGCTAACCAAAAATGTTGAATCTATTGCATTATTGGGAAGGCGAGAAAGGTATGGGAACGCTCGGAGGCTAAACAAATGTATAAAATGCAACTTTTGCGCAAACTTATACATCGGAATTGCCTCGGGTTCCGACGGAAATGTCCGATAATTCCTACTATTCCGTATTTTGAGATAAACAAATTATCTCTCAATATAAAGTATATGTTTTTAGTAGCAGTTTAAACCATATTTGGTTTTGAGGCTCTCGGAAAAATTTTAAACATATTTCAGAGTTAACGTTTTACAATTTCATCAGTCCAGGGAGTGAAAACAACTTGCATCTTCGAAAAAAGTTAAATTTCGTCAATATTGCGTCGTAGAAATAAATAATTTATACTTGTCCGATTTCAGTTTAAAGTCTCTTATCCACGACATTTCTGTTTCCTTCCTAAACGAGAAGCCCAAAAACTTGTTTTCGCTCATTCAATAAAATGAGTAAATTGAAGCTTTATATAGCAAGGGCACTTTGAAGCAAGGGCACTTTGAAGGCAAAGGTCCTTCGATGACAAAGGCACTCCGATGGCATAGGTTCTTCGATGTCAAAGACAAGGCCACTTTGAAGGCAAACGCGATTCAAAGGCAAAAGCAAAGGCTTGTCCGAAGGCAAAGTGTGAATTGTACGACTGTGAAAAGCAAACATCCTCTTTTCTCACAATCACTCGAGTCTTCGTACTGTTATGTTGGAGGGAATTGCATTACCAGAGAGTCTAAGTCGGAGGATGTTGCAGTGGTTAAAGCGATGGAGTAAATTGAAGCTTTATATAGCAAGGGCACTTTGAAGCCAGGGCACTTTGAAGGCAAAGGTACTTCGAGGGCAGGGGCTCTTTTAAGGCAAAGGCATTCCGATGGCATAGGTCCTTCGATGTCAAAGGTAAGGCCACTTTGAAGGCAAACACAGAGCAAAGGCTTGTCCGAAGGCAAAGTGTGAATTGTACGACCGCAAAAAGGAAACATCCGTTTTTCTCACAATCACTCGAGTCTTCGTACGGTAATGTTGGAGGGAATTGCATTACCAGAGAGTGTAAGTCGGAGGATGTTGCAGTGGTTAAAGCGATTGAGTAAATTGAAGCTTTATATAGCAAGGGCACTTTGAAGCCAGGGCACTTTGAAGGCAAAGATCCTTCGATGGCAAAGGCACTTTAAAGGCAAAGGTCCTTCGAGGACAGGGGCTCTTTGAAGGCAAAGGCATTCCGATGGCATAGGTCCTTCGATGTCAAAGGTAAGGCCACTTTGAAGGCAAACGCAAAGCAAAGGCTTGTCGGAAGGCAAAGTGTGAATTGTACGACCGCAAAAAGGAAACATCCTTTTTTCTCACAATCACTGGAGTGAAGTTCGTACGGTTATGTTGGAGGGAATTGCATTACCAGAGAGTGTAAGTCCGGAGGATGTTGTTGCAGTGGTTAAAGCAGCGATTGAGTAAATTGAAGCTTCTTTATATAGCAAAGGGCACTTTGAAGGTAAAGGCACTTTGAAGGCACAGGTCCTTCGAGGGCAGGGGCTCTTTGAAGGCAAATGCATTCCGATGGCATATAATAGGTCCTTCGATGTCAAAGACAAGGCCACTTTGAAGGCAAGCGCGATTCAAAGGCAAAAGCAAAGGCATGTCCGAAGGCAAAGTGTGAATTGTACGACTGTGAAAAGCAAACATCCTCTTTTCTCACAATCACTCGAGTCTTCGTGGTTCTATCTCTTAGGATCGACTAACGCATGTCCAACTGCTGTTCACATGGAACCTTTCTCCACTTCAGTCTTCAAAGTTCTCATTTGAATATTTGCTACTACCACCAAGATCTGATCTGGTGATGGGGTTCTGCCTACCAGCAACGTGACAGATATTGACAATCCTTTTTAGACAAAAATGGGCACTGGGTAATGTTTGAACTTGTGATAATTTTGTTTGTTTGCACAGTGGGCAGCTTTTAGCTGCGTTCTTGTTGGTGGCATTTGAGAGCGTTGAAAGGCTGGTGCGAAGAACCTCTTTGCTTCATTTGTAGCGTGGATTCCTCAAGAAGGGAATCAAGAGCCTGGGAAATCTCGTGTTTGAAGCTGGCCAGGGTTTTGGATCTGAGTTCTGTGCCATATCGTTGTTTAACCAGGGCGGGTAACTCTGTATGAATTAATCGTAACCATGTCAAAATAATCATGTTTTCAAGAGTGGGTGTTAACACTTCATCAGTTTGAACATCTTCGCGGTGATGCGCTTTAACCTAACCCTAACCGCAACTCTAAACTTAGGGTTAATCCCAAACCTTAATCTAGGTTAGGTTAGTTTTCGGGTCAGCGTTAGGGTTAGGGGTTAACCCTAAGCCAATGTTCGGAACAATCATGTAATAACAGAAATAGCTCATTTTCAAACCGCGGTAACTCTTCGGTTTTATGAAGTAAATTCATGTTTTACAGTATCTATTCATTATAAAGACTCTAAACATTCCTGAATTCACGGATGTGATTTTATTTTACTTTTCTTGTAAAAAGTACAATTAACTCCAGAATATTTCAATGCGACTTTGAAGGTCATTTAACATAAGTAAAATGCGATATATATATATATATATATATATATATATATATATATATATATATATATATATATATATTACAAAATTATTCAAAAATTCTTTTATTAAATTACTAAACTTCGACGTTATCAAAACATACCTTTGAGAAAACGACATCTTCACAGCAAAAATCGCAATATATTTCAACAGTTTTGAAAAATAATGAACCGCACTGCATTTCGGGATGACCCTCATTCCTCGTCTGCTCTCCTCCGATCAATGATGCTTTGATTCAATTGCACAAATTTACGAAGCGCACTTAAACTAAGCAACTATATGATGTAACTTTGCAATACTCAGCCGGCGATAATTCCCCCAGTTTTCCAACCTCCATCAAAATCGCCCGAAGATCGTCTTGAATAATGCGCGAAACGTCTGTTGTAGATCTCTGCATTGTACATGAAATTGTTGACCGTTCCTTATAGGTGTTTCCTGTCATGCCAATAAAGTCTATATATACATTCCGAATTACTGGATACAACCTGCATGTGATGTATACTACTATTGTTGTTACTTATATAAACATTTATATATAATATAGACTTGAAGATCTGTAATCTAGGCAGTTTATTAAATTAAACTATATATATATATTTCTAAAATTATATATTTTTAATGTTTATGTTAATATAGATATAAACGAGTTATTTTGTGGCTCGATAATGATACAATTGTTCTTCTAGCTTTTTCTGTACAATCTAAAAAATAAATGTATTGTAATTTAATTAACAGTTATCCAAATTATTGTATATAAGTTATAACAAACAGCAAACGCACCAAGTTAGCCAGAGTTTACCTGTAAAGTACTGTGGTCTGTTGATTCAATTTTTACTCGGTCGTTACTCTATATAATATAACAGCACTGATTTGAACCACTGCCTCTGGATTAACTTACGAAAATAGATTTAGCCCATGCAATAAAACCATTTAAGATCGTTATTCTGGGCATGCGGGTCGAGCAAACCAGTTTGAACAAGCGTTGTAACTGTCTACTGTGACAGTTTTAATTCGCTCGGGTGCTTACATGAACGTTTACTTAGCACCAAAAGCCAGAACGTAGAACACCCTAATGAAAAACGTGGAACGCTGGAACAGCAAAGACGGAATGCTAAAATATCTCAACCGAAAACCAGAAACGCCACTCAAGAACTTTCTTGAGTTCAAAATACAAAACGTCTCAAAGTTATATGGTGTACACTTCCCGCCAAAATTACAGCAGGCAATTTCAACATACAACCTGCCACGTTATTTTTTTTTAAACTGACTAGAACTTGCAATTTGTACCTATATAATTTCTACTTCTAACAGTTTCACATTGAAAATTAATCATTCGGGTGTAGTTTTAAAACAGATCAGCTATAAATTGCAAGTTGTATAGTGTTGGAAATACAAACAATATAGTTTATTATTATACATTTAATATGTATTCTCGTTTCTAATTGGTCAGAAAGCACCGGCTAATTTTCAGTATTCGGCATTTATTACGTATTTTCCGCCGATGACGTCATTAGCGTCCAATAATTGTTTTTTTGGATCGAACTTGCATCCAAAAAAAAAATTATTGGACTCTCTCGTGCCCAAACCCTTGCGCGGCCAAAAGCTTGAACCTATAAGCGCGGGAAAAAACAAACAATGGCCGACAAGCAGATTTGCTTCGCTGAATGAAAGTGGACTCTCCAAATTATTGGCAGATAAGGATAGTCAAAGCATGAAAAAAGCCACAAAGGGGTAAATAGAAGTAGAAATATAATATTTAGCTGACCTTTGACTTTGTGCAAGGTATTTGATATTCAAATTGTACTTTTCCTACCTCATGAACAGGAATCGTCTTATACGTTTCTCATGTCTTTAAATGTATAATAAAACAATTATTGGATTCTGCTTTCGCATGATATCAAGAATTATTCAGACCTCGGTCTATGTTATCCGCCTCAGCTTCGCTTCGGCAGATAACATTGACCTCGGTCTGAATAATTCTTGATATCATGCTCAGCCTCATCCAATAATTGCTTAATGTCGAAAATAGCAAGTTGTATGTTGAAATTGCCAGCTGTAATATTGGAAGAAGATAACACGATACCTTGTAAGCCTTTGTATTTTGTGTCAACAAAAACACAAGAATCAAGAAATCACATGGGCGGCATTCAGGGTTTTGTTTCGAGATTTTTTAGCGGCTTTTCTGTTCCGGCGTTGCAGGATTTCCATTTCGGCTGTCCGATCTTCCAGCTAGCGTTCCACGTTCCGGCTTTTAGTGCTAACCCACAACAAACATAATTATTAATATTATAAATACATTTTCAACTAACTGAGTACTATAACGTGATTCAAACGAGGGTGAAGAGATCGTAATGGAATGGTCGCTGCGTTGCGAAAACCGTTTCTGGGGCAGTACAAATGTCCAAAAGCCAGAACAAGCCGACAAAAACAGAAAACATCTTGAAACCCAAGATGGGGATAAAACAAAACGTAAATGTAAGTGGTAAAACAATTAAGACGCAAATTGAAACCGTTTAAATTCACGTCCTGCTTTTTAATCTATATCTTGGGGTGCAAGATGGTTCCAAGACGTTTTCAAGATGTTTTCATTTTTCAGTTTTTGTCCAACCAACTAATCATATTTAAAGCGATATGCATTTCCACAATAAGACTTTTTGTACCTGTAGTTGTTTATACATACGCTAGCCTTCGACAAAAATAAATCCCGAAAATACCAAGCCATACTTGAAGTTTACAACTTACTTTTATACAAATTTCCATTGCTCCTTGGCTCAACCTTACGTTGTCAGAAATATCTTCGTACGGAACATCCAGGTTGATCTTCCACTCACTCCAAAATACATTTTGATGTACTTCCATAACTCTCCTATCATTTTTTGCCAATGAAGCAAGAAT